TCATTGACCGTCAATCAGACGCGCGAAAAAAGAGCAACCGGCATATATCTCGCTCACTCTTTCGTTTTCTACTTTCTTACTCTTGTTGCGTATTTATTAATAATTAATCAATCAGAATTGTGATAAAGAGCTATAATTAGAGATACATTAACCAATTTTACATAAAACATATTGTACTCTGCCCATCAATGATTCGTTAGATCCTATATTACGAAATATGTGTTTATATAGATATAAAAATCGATACGAACGAACAATATAATGATGAAGATATAATGTAATATAATTTATGTATTTCTTTTTCAATATTAGGTATATTGTTAATCTATCCGTTTCAATGCACGCGTATTTATTTATTACATACATTATCAGTCTTATCGACCTTGCGGATAAATCAGGATAAGTTAGGATCACTGCAAAACCCAACGAACATTGATTCACTAGATCCTAGTGACCCTGACTTATCAGTCTCATGATCCGTCGATAAGATTAATATTGACATCTCGCGACAAACATTGCATCCCTAAGAAAGGACGACAATGATGATAATGACATTTCTTAAAGTAAAAATTTCCAGATTGGACTTTGATTCTTAATATCTCTGCTCGTAGAGCACGAGGAAAAAAATAAAATCACTTTTGTCATGCAAATCGTATCCAAACTATCGATTGAGTCTACTTAGAACTTGCTTCAGCCGTTGAAGAGATCTGCTTTGAGAATTGATTCAGCCGTTAAAGAGATCTGATAATCTCGGGTGTTCGCATCTCGATTGACTTGACACCCGAAATACTATCGTGTCTCCTGATATTTCGTAATATACAGTTATAAGAATAAAAATTACATTAAATTTTGATGACAATTGAAACTTGGTTTTTAATTTTTAATCTGATACATAGATATAAATACAATAATAATATTAAATCTTCTTGACAATTACAAATTAATGCTAATTTTTGTATAAAATTTTTCATATAATTTAATTAGTATTATTTATTTACTTTATGTATTAAAAACTTTTTATAATATATAGATACAAATATAAGCATTATATTCAAATTTTCTGACAACTAATTGATATCAGATTTTATATTAAAATTTGTTGGGATAAGTTTCTCAGAAAATACAGCGAATATATATGGATACTTTATATATTGAACTTAGACAGACTAAGGTAGAGGAATACAAAGGAATATACTGAAAACTAATGCGCGCGCTTTATGTGGCGGGTCGATATATATCGATAAAAT